GGTGGCTCACTGAAACGGTAGTACCTGAAGTCCCATAATTATTAAAACCCCACGTGCTCTGAGGTCAGCAGCTGTTCAGAAACCATAGGAACTGCTTAAAGGGAGCTTGTTACAGGGCCAATGCACAGAGCAGTCCTAACTGTAGGTAGAATAGCTCATACACAATTATGCTACAGTAGCATTTAAGAGAACAGTTCCAGACTTACCTTTAATTGGAGTATTTGAGAGGTGAAGAGGAGCCACTTGCCTTATGTGCCCATGAGGTCTAACGTAACCCTTTCTTCCACTGGAGGTACTTAACTTTACAAATGAAAACTGACTTTTCCAATAGCAGAAAATTCTTCTGAAGAAGGAGAAAGTACAATTTTGCTTATATATAATTCATAGGTGGGGAAGTTCTATCAAATCAAAGAGGTACTTTTTTTCTTCCTGAGGAACATGCCACAAAACAAACTACAAAAAACTTGTGTGAGAAGGAATAAGCTATGATTTACTTTGGGTATGCATTCGGGGATGGGAAGGTACTTAAAGTTGAAGGCAGCTCTCCAAATCTTCTCTGTGCAACAATCATTGCCTGTTTTCCGAGTTTTACTCCTGTTGTTGTGAAAAGAGATGGAATGATAGCTCCACCCTAGAGCCTCAAAAAACTCATGCTAGCTGCAAAGCAGGAACAGCAATGTGAACTTCATGTGGTGATATGCACACCAACGCACTGCAACGAACTGCAGTGGTGTAAAGCTACCTGCAAACACCCCTCCGACCCCAACCTTACACTGATCTCCTTTGTACATCTTTCCCTCTATAATGTTGATATCTGCATTGGCATAGTCATTCATACAAATTTTATGATTAAAAAAGTGCCGTATTTCTGCCAAATGAGTGGGCTTTTTTCAGGTGCATGAGGAAAGGAAGCGTGGAGGGGAGATGCCGTTGGAACAGCTATCTGGGCAGCATAGTGACGCTGGGACAGGTCTTTAAGATATAAAAGGGTAGGAACCAGCTAGGATGGATTTAGGGCACTGGACAGGAAAAGTAAATGGAAGCCCACTGGGGAGAATGGGTGTCACCTGGTAGTACTCTGGCTTCAATGCTTTTTACCCTAAAGGGCTGCCTGACTTTTGGTTCAGTGAAGATATCTCCTACTGATGTGGCAGTATACCTAGTTATCCAATGATTTGAAAACATTAGGCAAAACACCATAATTAGGAGGCTTCCACCCATGTTCTGAACAACTCAGGGATGAAACTGCTGAATTTGGGTTTGGACCAGATGTCCTTCTGTGGCCTCTTCCAACCTCAACTTTTTCTGTGATTCTGGCAATTACTTTCTGTGGTGTGTGATCTCTTACTTAGAAGCGCTTAGCTACCAGAGGACTTTCAGTAGTATGTGGGGCACCTGGATCACAGTGGGGATCAAGAGAATTGTAGAGAAGGAAGTCGAATCACTGACCCTTACAGTGTGGAACAGAAGGTGTTGGAAATGGAAAATACTAAGGAAAAGGCAGCAAGGCCTTTTAAAATTTATACCTCAGAAAAATGGGAGCTATTTGAGGGCATCAACAAGTATCTAGGCAAGGGTCAGAAGAGTTTGTACAGTTGACAGAGATTTCTAAAAGCTCTTCCCAGCAGAATGCAGTCCCCCAGTGCAGGCCCGCTCAGCCCTGCACTAGTCAACATACTCATAAATCATCAGGAAAAGAGGCTAAGGCAGTAAGATTTGTCAAGAACACTGTATTATTCAGGAAAACAGTGATTATGGCAAACTCTGAAGAATTGCTGAAAGACCCTATAGTACACTTGATGATGATACAGCAGCTGAAATTCAGTGTAGATTTAGACAAGAAGGCAAAAAGTATCCTATCTTCGTATGGATGGTGAACTATTACTGGTCAGGAATGAGCTCTAGGGAAAATGGGATAATTCTATGAAAACACCAGCTCCAACGTGTCCATTCACTCATATGCTGGGAGCAGCACCATTAGGTCAAAGCAAGAGCAACTCATAGGCAGGACAGCACGGAGAGGAAAAGATAAAGGTCATTATGCAGCTGATACCACGCGCAGCTTCCTATCTCCTGCAGCCACGGTCTCCTGCATTCTTGCATATTAAACCTCTGGAAATTGCTTCAGAATCCACTAACTTATGGAAATGGTATAGACCAAACTTCCTAGCTGGAAGGTATAAATGCCATCAGCTTACGCAAAAAGCTTTTGAAGCTGATCCAACAGCAGTCAGACTGCTGAGGCGTTGGTGCTTCCCGGTGTGATACAGGGGATGCCCACTCTGACGGAGGAGGAAGAATGAGCCCTCTCTGCCTCAGCTAGGTAACTATTTTGCTCATAGGTGCACGAATTACAACTTACGTGTTAGAGAACCTGTGAGTTAGAAACTTCATGAATTAATGAAGCGATGAGTCAGTGAACTCACACTTTAGACAAGCCTGTACAAAAGGGGATTGAGCCCTTGTTTGACATGCTGCTTTGTCTTCTTTCCTAATGAGTTCACAAAATAAAGTTCAATTCACAGAGTGCATTGTCCTCTACGTTTGAGATATCTAAATGAACCATGACACTCCAAACTCAACAGTAATCAACAAAATCCATCATTAGAGTTTATTAGGAAAGCAAGAGAAGCCAAAACAAAAACCACTGAAAAGCCACTGTGCACATTTGATGCACTCATACCTTGCAGACCATCTGCAGGTCTGCCCCTGAAGGAAAGACTGTCTTAAGGAACAGAGGAGGACAAAGACAGCCCAGGCTATGGAATTACTTCCACAGAACAAGATTAAGATAGGCTAAAACTTTCCAGTTTGGAAAAGAGTCAACAAAGAGGGACATGATACGTGGATATAAAATCAGAAATCAAATCAAGAAAGTGAATAGCACTTTTCCTGTGTTTCAGGAAAGCTAGTCGGTGGACACTGGAAGGGAAGGACGCAGGGCAGTAACGCTACAGCCCCTCACGTTGCCTCCTACGCATCTGTGGATGGCCTGTCGCAGGCAGGCTGCAGATCCTGTGAGCCTCTGAGTGACCTGGTAGAGCTGTTGCCCTGTTCAGTGTGCTAGCTTCTCGTTTTGTCGCTCCCTTCCTGACCTCGCGAGGCAAGCAGGAAATAAGACAAGACAAGGGGAAAGGCACGACAGAACCGACTGGCAAAAGAAGGAAGCAGACAGTATTCTTGTTCAATGAGAATCACCATCCACTTTAACAGTTCCCACGCCTACTGCTCCCAGTCTGACTTAAGTAATAGTACTTTACATCATTGTTTTACCACCATTTAGACCATGCCTCTGAGCGAATGTGATACAGCACCAGGAGTGCCAAAATGACCCAGGGGAAGGCACTTAAAAAAATGAAGAGGCGGTCCCCTTGCTAAGGAGTTTGCGAGCTCCCAGAGGGCAAGCACATGGCTTGGCCAGCCTGGTGCCACGGCTGCAGCGCGGGGATGCGGGGACTCTGTAGCAGGCAGTGCCACAAGCGTTGCAACCAGGGCCGTTGCCTGTCCATGACTGAGCTTTTAATTTGGACATTGGAAGGAAAAAAAAATGTGAGAGAGGCCTTCATGCTGTATCATCAGAAAACCGACACAGGTCTGGACGTTAACTATGAGGCATTTCTGGTGCCTAGTGACAGCTGAATTCACGCACCAGCTCTCTCCCCGTAACTGAAGGTGGTGAAGGAGACTTGGTGGTGGTCGCTCTTCCCCGCTGGGCCGCTTATTTCTACAGATGTGCGACCTTGCAGGCGCCACCCCTTTTTGGTCGAATCTGGTTAAAGACGGCCAGTGCACCCCCGAAATCAGGAGGAGGGGGAGCCGAGGGCCCCTACGCAGCCCCGCCACCTGCGCCTCGCTCCCTGCGGCCAGGCGAAAGAAAACCGAAACGAGCCGCACCCCGAGCCCCGCCGAGGAGGTACCAGAGCCTTTTGGGTGACCCTGGGCTTCTGAGAACGCCTCAGCCGGCGAAGGGGGGACTCCGGCCTCGCGGGCAGCGAGGCTGCTCCAGGCACCGCTGATACAGGGCCTGGATCGGAACAGGGGATGTAAGGGTGATACAGGGCCTAGATAGGAACAGGGGATGTAAGGGTTAATGTGGGAATAGCAAGAAGGGGATGACAAGGGAAATAGTCGAGATAAGAGTTTGCTTAGATCGCACAAGATAGATAGTGCTGTGTTTGTGTTGCCTGACCACTATCTCCTGTTTAAGTAAAAAGCCTCCTCCACCCCTGAGTAAGTGAAGATGTTTGTGTTGCTGACCACTATCTCCTGTTTAAGTAAAAAGCCTCCTCCACCCCTGAGTAAGTGAAGATGTTTGTGTTGCTGACCACTATCTCCTGTTTAAGTAAAAAGCCTCCTCCACCCCTGAGTAAGTGAAGATTACCCCACAACCGGCACAAACCTGCTCTGCGGGTCCAGGGGGTGACAGAGACTGCGCAGGAATTCGGGGTGAAAAGTTCAGCACTGAGGAAGAGGAGATACTTCCTCCCACGACCACCGCCCAGCCCTTCACGACCCCTGCCCAGGACCAAAGGAACTCACTGTGCAGACTCAACTGGGAGGAGACCATGGAAATGCTAATTTTAATACGAAGCGGGGATAGGTGATGCATATGTATAGGCGTATTGCGAAATATTATGAATATGTAATCATTTGCTCTATAAATCTAAGGCAACGGTGCCACACGGCAGCACACACATTCGGAGGAGCGATCCCCTGTGTGCCCAGCGCTGAATAAACCGACCTACTTTACAATCTACCAGACTGCGGAGTCTGTTTTCCGCACGTCAGGGGTTAACCCCGCGGCCGGGCCCTCCCTCAGCGCCGGCCCCAGGGCGCCACGGGCGGCCCCGGCCCGCGCGAGGAACCAGCCGCGGCACCGGGGGGGGGGGGGGGCAGCGCACCCCGTCCCGCCCCCGGCCCCTCCCCGGGGCGGCCCCCCCCCCCACCCCCCCCACCCCGCGCCGCCGGTTTCGTTTTCGTTTCCTCGGCGCGGCGGGCGGGGAAGGCAGCGGCCATGGCGCTCGCGGCCCAGGCGCTGCAGGTGCTGTGCGCCAACGGCGGCTGCCTGGAGCAGGGCGAGCTCCAGCGGCGGCTGCTGGGCCCCCCCACGGCGGAGCAGCTGGCGCTGGCGCTGCGGGACGAGCGGCGGTTCACGCTGGTGCGGCGGCCCGGCGAAGCGGGGCGGGGGGGGGCGGTGGCGGTGGCGGTGGTGGCCACCAGCCCCGTGCGGCTGTGCGGGGAGCGCGGCGCGGGCTGCGAGGGGCGGTGCGGGCGGCTGCACCTCTGCAAGTACCACCTGAAGGGGCTGTGCCGCAACCAGCTGGCGAGGTGAGGGGCGAGGGGGGGAGCGGGGCGGCCCCGGGGGGTGCCGGCGGGGACCCGCGCGGCGCTGCCCGGGCCGGGGGCGCGGCCGCCGGTGAGCGTGCGGCGGGGCTGGGCGCCGCTGCGGCCTGGGCGCCGGAGGGAGGGCCTGCCGCCGTTCGGAGCGCTCCCCGGCCGCGGCTGTGGGGAGGGGAGGTGACTTGGGAGAGGAAAAGTCTCACTTCCACGGGCCGTCGTGGTGGCACTGGGGGGGGGGGGGTGCGGCCGCTTCCGCCCCTCGCTGCGGGCCGGGAGCTCGGGGCTGGGGTCGGGAGCGGCCTGGCTGCCCTCTCCGGGTCGGAGCTGCGCCTTACCCCCCTCTTTTTTTTATTTTTCCCCTCAAAAGGAGAAAGACACAGGCGGTTGTTTCACAAACTTCGGGTTTTCGGGTTGCAACACTCCCCAGCTCACCACCCTCCTTCCAGCGCTTCCCCCCCGGCCCAGGGCCCGTGCGAAGGGGGGGGGGGGGGAGTTTGGGGGTGTCCGCCCCCCCCCACCCCGCACACGCTGCCACCCGCAGCCGCTGTGAGGGATTTGTGCTGCCCGAGCCTGGGAAGGTGCTTACTGATTTGAGTGGGGGGAAGCGTTATTCTGGCGTTTTGGTGTCTTCTTACGCGTGGCTGTGGGCTGCGGGTCCAAAATGCCAGTGTGGTCAGGCTGCAGTAATGCTGCAGTGACAGTAAATCAGAAATAGTGTGGCAGTTATCCTCAGAGTAATTATGTAATCTGCTTAGCAAATCACATAATTACTTTATAAAGGAGTGCTACAGATTTTTCTGAAACTAGCTAATTTGGTGTACTTTTTTAAACTGTTTAGTGTAATACCTATGGGGTAGCAAAATAGTGCTAGTCTGTTGCACTTTCTTTGCACTTGGGTTTCTTTAACTTGTAGGAAGGAATGCAGGTTTGTTCACAACATCCACTCGGACCACAATCTTTCTGTTCTAAGACAATATGGACTTGAGTATTTAAACCGAGATGAACTGTGCCAGCTTCTGCTTCAAAATGACCCTTCCCTCTTACCAGAGGTGAGTAGTGCTGTGACAGCTGTAGCCTTGTGTTTCAATGAGCACCACAAAGCCAAAGAGGCTTGATACTAGGTGGAGATGTTAGGTGTCAGTTCAGTTAGCATAATGCAAATCTAAAACTTTAAATCTGCATCCTCTGTTTGCATCTGTGGCGGGTTTACCCTGGCTGGCAGCTAAGCACTTGCACAGTGTCTCACCACACTCTCCCCTGCCCCCAGCAGGACAGGTGAGAGAAAACCAGAAGAGCAAAAGTCACAGAACTCGTGGATGAAGGTAAAGACAGTTTATCAAGTAGAGAAAAGAGGGGAGGAAACAAGTAGTGCAAAGGAAGTTAGTCACCACCTCCCACAGGCAGACCCATGTCCAGCAAGCCTCTGAGAGAGGGTCACCTTGTGAGAAGGACCCATCTCCCCTCCCTTGTCCTTTTTTTTTTATTATGATTATTTTTTTATTTTAGAGTATGACATTACATGTCATGGAATATCCATCCGGCCAGTTTGGGCTAGCTGTCCCAGCTGTGTCCTCTCTCAGTTTCTTGCCCACCCCCAGCCCACTGGGGACTGGGAGGCAGAGTGGAAGAAAAGAGGAAGCCTCAACACTGCCAGCACTGTTCAGCAGTAGCTGAAACATTGGTGTGTTATCAACACTGTTTTGGACACAGATCCAAAACATAGCACAGTATGGTCTGCTGTGAAGAAAGTTAACTCCATCCCAGCCAAATCCAGTACCTCTTAACAGCAATTTCAGGTCAAAAAAGTTCACTATTCCAGAACTAGAAAACCAAAGAGTTTAGGTAGTGACAAAATAAAATCCACAATCATACATTTATGTGACTTGGAGCAAAATCCCATCTGCTTGAGAATGTCTAAGATGGTGGTTGTCTGTTGAAAGATCTTTCTAGCCATTAGCAGGGAAAAGGAAAAGCTCTAATCATTTGGGAAAGAAAAGGAAAGAAGAAACTTGTGTAAGTCTTTTAAATGCAAATGGAAACACGTAGCTTTAAAAATTGTTAATTCAGACGGTCTCTATTAACACACTGTACTTTAATTTTTTTTTTTCCTCTACCCAAGGTCTGCTTGCATTATAACAAAGGTGATGGACCTTATGGATCTTGTACCTATAAAAAGATCTGTACCAAACTGCATGTTTGCCAGTACTTTTTGCGGGGACAGTGCAGATTTGGCAGCAGCTGCAAGCGATCCCATGACTTACTAAATTCAGAATGTTATGAGAAACTGGAGAAACAGGGAATGACCTCAGACATTATTGAGAAACTACCCTCCATTTATAGGAATATGTATGACATAAAAAATGGCAACAGGAACATGTGTGATATAGAAGATGCCACATCTTCACCATGCAAAGGTAAATGATACCATGTTGAAAACATCAGAAGACTCACTAAAGTGAATGTAACATTCTCACAGATGTGAGTTCAGTTTTCTTTTTCTTAATGACATCCTCATGTGTCTTTTCGGAGGGACGTTGCACCTATCTCATTGACAGAGATTTGTGTCTTGACAAGTGAAGTGGATTTCAAGGCATTATGGGTTCCTGAGAAATAAAGTGCTTGACATTTATAAAAATCTTAAATTTGGGGTTAGAAAAACACAACAGGAATTGAAAATAGGGAGAGCTATATTTTTTTTTCGTGGTAAAAAACGGAAACAAGGTTAGAGAACTGTTTAAGAATAGGGGTGGCATTTACTTGTGTGATTATAAGCTATCCATTTTTTTTCTTTAATGTAGTGATTGTTTAGCACAAGAATTCAGACAGCACTACCCTAGTTAATTCTCAGAGATGTAGTATTTTGTTTGTTCTTTTCTTTTGAAGTTCCTTAGAATTGTAAGTTAAGCATATATTAGCAGGAAAGGAAAGGGAAACTGAATGGAAAATCCAAGTGTGTGTGTTCATCTCTGCTACAGTCCCTGCAGTTCCTTCTTCCCTTCTTTGTTTCCTTGGGCGTCCTTTAACTTACAGAAGTATCAAATTCTGAGACCTCAGATTTTATAGCTGCTAGTGTGAACAGCTGCGTGGAACGCATGGTTAACTCAAGCCCATCTAGGACTGGAAAGGCATTGGATTCTGTTCTTATTTTGTGGTGATATCTAAAAACTGTATCTAAGGAATTTAGTTACAGGAAAGTCAAGTTCGGAAAGGATGGATAAAGGGACAGGACTTTTGGGTATACAAGGTTATTAAAAACTTCAGTGTCTTTCTGGAGCTGAATGCAGTTACATAAGCACTGGTTTTCGGCATCTTCCCTAACCCATAGGTGCACTTTTAAGAGGGCTTGTTGAAACAAAGTGTATTAATAAAGGTTACAATTCCCCCCATCTAGAGAGAAAACACAGCTCTAGCCAAGAGTCCTCAACTGCAAATGGTGATGAATTGGAACAGATCTGTTTATATCATCTGTACAGAAGTTGTGGCTTTAAAGGTAGGTTGTGACTGTAGCAAGCCCTGTCTATTTTCCTTTTCTCATAAATTGGTAGACATCTTTCACAGAAAGGGGAAACTTCAGAGCTTATGCTTCTCTTTAGTTCAATCTCATTGTAATCTTGAGTGCTGGTAGGAAGGTGTTTGCCCTACCTGGTATACCGAAGGAGCTGTTTGGTTTTACTCTGACGTGTAATATCTGCCTGTGATGGAGATTGGGTACTCCACCTGTGCTCACTTAAGGGGTTGTTGAATGATAGGAGTTCCATTTCCAAATAGCTACAGAAGATACTCTGAATTCTACATTCTTCCTTGTTTCTTCTAGCACTCTTCTGTTCCATCCGAGTTGTCTCCCTTTCATAATGTTCCAGTTGGTCCAGGAAAAAGGCTGCTGTGCCAGCTTTCTTGTTGTCTCTGGGTTTTGGCTGGGATGGATCTAATTTTCCTTCTTAGTAGCTGGAGTAGTGCTGTGTTTTGGCTTCAGTATGGTATTTGGTATGAGAAGAATGTTGATAATATACTGATGGTTTTAGTTGTTGCTAAGGAATGAAGGACTTTTCAGATTCCCATGTCCTGCTAGTGCACAGGTGCACAAGAATCTGGGAGGGAGCATAGAGCAACGGACCCAAATGGGCCAGTGGAATATTCCATATCATATAACATCACGCTCAGTATATAGGTGAAGGTTGGCAGGGAAGCTGGGGTGCTCTCTCTTCTGGGATCACAGTTTGGGGATTTTCTCTCCTCTGGGATCGCTAGCCGGATATAGGCTGGGCATTGGTCATGAGGTGGTGAGCAATCGCATTGTGCATCACTTGTTTGTATATTTTGCTTTTATTTTTTTTTTATTTCATTTCAATGATCAAATTTTTTCTATCTCAACCTATAAGTTTCCTTATCTTTACCCCTTTTAATTTTCTCCCCCGTCCTCTGGAGCAGGGGAAGGTGAGTGAGTGGCTGTGTGGTGTTTGGCTGCCAGCAGGGTTTACACCATGACACTGTCCTGTTGTGATCCTTTCCTTACTTGATGTTCTTGACCTGGAGCAGCTCCCTGATGTAGTGCACACCTTCTCATCTGAACTGTGTGGTGCAGTCCCCTTGCCTTTCCCTGTAGAGACGTTGCCTGTCTTTCTACTACGAAAGCTAGCCTCAAGTTTATGCGTATGTGTACTGGTGATGCAATCCTCACTTCTCTTGAGGAGTGACTGCATACTGACCCTTTGAATGATTTCTGAGTAACACTTGTGATACCTGAGCCACTGCTACCACTACTCTTGTTCCTGGTGAGGACTGGAGGCTTCTTGAAGTCTCTAAATGAGCTGCCTCCTATCCTAAAATGAAGCACTGCTGTGTTTGGTATTTTTCCCTTCAGAAATACCACTTTGGGACTAGGTGGCTAAGCATAGATATTTGAGTCTACACTGTTATTCTATGTATGAAATAATAGCCTCGTGTGAGCTTTTGATCTCAATTAATTGTAAATTTTCGTCTCTGAAACTGAGAAGACAGTTCCACCGAGACTTCACCACTGAGCTCCTGCTAGCAGTTTTGATGCACAAATTGAATCTAGTAGGTACAGAAACTAAACTTCTGTCTAAATTGAATCTAGTAGGTACAGAAACTACTTCTGCCTAAGCTCAAAAATTAAGTTTTGCTTGCTCATGCTGAAAAATTCTGAACTGCTTGTATTGATTCCACAGCTGTGCATTTGATACTTTCACCAGCTAGGTGGACAGGCCTGAAACACTGGAGTTTTTCTCGTAGCCTGTAAAAATAATGCCTTTTTTTTTTTTTTTTTTCCTAACTTTATAGACAAGTGTGTCAGAACTCATTTTCACTTGCCATACAGATGGCAGTTCTCTGATGGTAATACCTGGAAGGACTTGAAGAATATGGAAGAAATAGAAAAAGCATACTGTGACCCAAATAACATCAGGTATAAACTCTTACAAAATTTAGTAATCTTTGGATTTGTCTGTGTTGGACTAGGCCCTTAGTAGCTATCAGTTGTTATGATTCTGTTGCAGTCAGTAAATAAGTAGCTTCACTCAGTATTCTTCTACAGACCTCACTTTGCTGCTCTACAGTTTTCGGAGATGTGATCCATTCTGCCTTCCTTATGCCTGGAGCCTGTGTCGTACCCGCCAGGTTACCCTACTGGCTTTGGCTGGGGTGGAGTTAACTTTCCTCCTACCAGCCCATATAGTGCTGTGTCCTGCATTTGTGACTGGAGCAGTGCTCGTAATGCACAAATGCGGAGCGGTGCTTGCCCAGAGTCAAGGCTTTCTCTTTTTCCCACTCTGCCCTGTTCCTCCACAGTGGGTGGGGTGGGGGGGGGCGAGGCGCTGGGAGAGGATCGGCGTGGACGGCTGACCTGAGCTGACCAAACAGATCCCCTTACCGTGCAATGTCGTGTTCAGCAATAAAACCTGGGGCACAGGAAGAAGGTTGGGGCTTTGGTTTCCAAGGTGGCTGCTGTTTGGAGGCTGGCTGGGCATTAGGCTGCCTGGAGAGGTGGTGAGCGATTTGTTTTGCTGCATTGGTTTACTTATTTACACCCCTCCTCTTCTTCACCTATAGAACTGCCTTTATATTGACTCACAACTTTTCTTGCTTTTGCCCTTCCTGTTTTCTCTGTGCAGGGAAGGGGAGGGGGATTGAACGAGTGAGCAGCTCGCTGTGGGGGTACTTGGTTGCTGGCCAGGGTCAATCTACCACGGTTATTCTGTGTGACTGACCCATAGACTCTAGTATTCTTTGCTGCGAAAAAATGTATAAATACTTCCTACTGCTACTACCATAGGAAGTCTTAATCCTCACTAAGAATGGCTGGAAAACTTCAGAGAGTAGTGATTTTATCACAAGTACTTGTGGGACTGTCTTAGGTTAGAGCTTGTCAATACACAGTTTGACCCCACGATTAGAAGTAACCTTCCCTTTCACCTCCTGAGCTGAAGGATGGAAAGGTAGCGGTAGCGTGAGATTTGCCCCTCCCACCCTCTTTTCCCCCAGTCCATGTTGTGGAACTGGTAAGAATACCTTGTGTACCCGGAGAGAGAGAGATGCTATTGGGTGCAGAGAGCATTAAGAACATGGAAATACCTTTAGGAGTTTGAAACTGGTTATGTAGCATGAAGAAGGTGTTAGTAGGGGCTCACACCAGTATGTTGTGTCCCATGCTGGAGAATTTACCTAGCCTCCTTATGTTATGTTAGAGGCTCTTTGAACCTGTCCTTAAGTTACAACAGTGCTCTGTTTAGAGAACTGTTCTTGTTTAGGTTAGCAAGAAGGCAGCAGTGTACCTTTCCACTGCTCATCTTATGTAACTCACCGATTTGCCCATGGAACCGGCGTGAGGCGTAACAGTGTAATGCAAAATATGTGCAAGCACAGGACAGGGCTGGGATTGTTATGGAAACTGCAGGTTTGTGTTCTGCTTTTGAGTGATGTTGATTTAATTTATAAATCTGTGTTGGGTTGCTGAACCTATGTGTAAAGCTTCACAAATAGTTCTGATTTTTTTTTCTCCTCTCTTTTTTTTTTTTTTTTTTTTAATAGATTTAATAATGGTGTTACTGAAAGTGGCTCTGTCTTGCCATGTATTTGTTTTCTGAATATGTGCTGTGGGTTTGCAAAGGTTAGACGTCTTTCTACAGCCTCCTCTGTGACCAAACCCCCTCACTTCATTCTTACAACAGAATGGATCTGGTACTGGAAAGATGAATATGGCTTGTGGCAAGAGTATGGAAAACAAGTAAGTGTGGAGAAATGGGGAGACTCAACTCTGTTAAAGTGCACAACTACTGAAAAGTGCACAGTGTTTATATCCTCTCCCTCTTTTGTCAGCTTCTCCCTCTCAGTCATACTGTACAGATGGACTTTAGGGCCTAATGGGATCTTTTCCATGTGAATTTGATTGGTTCAGGTATGGGACTGCTCACTGGTGAGTCAGAGAGTAGTGACAGATAATTCTTCAGTGAGTCATGTCAGGTAGGATCACATGAATACATTCTCTTCATTGTTCCTGACTAAAGCTTCTGCTTCTGAGGTTCCAGTAGTCTCCACTAAGGTCTAGTTGGTGGTTGTGTGGTCTCAGTAGTAGCATTCATAGCGTGCACTTTGCAGTTGAAGCCATGTGAGTTTAGGCTTCAAAACACTGCTTGGTTTGTTTTAGGGGCAGTTTCAACTGCTTAATACGTGGCTTTTGCCTGATAGCTACTGTCATGCCCAAAAGCTGATGTGTACTGCAGCCACCATACCGTAAGACAGCTGTTGGGTGTTCAACTTGTGTTTTATATAACAGATGAGGAGAATCTTATTTTTTCTCTGGTTTTGACCCGACAGGATGATGATCATGCAGCTGCCACTGTCTCCAGTGAAGACCTGGAGAAAGCTTATATAGCCAAAGGTTCTCCAAAGCTGAACTTCAGAGCTGGAAGACATGAATATGAACTCAGTTTTGGAGGTTGATTATTTGGTTTGGGGTTTTCTGTGTTTTTTGTTTGTTTTTTGTTTGTTTGTCTGTTTGTTTTTTGTTTGTTTTTTTGTTTGTTTGGGGGTTTGTTTGGTTTAGTTTTGTTTGTGTTTTTTGTTGTATGTTTTGTTGTTGTTGGTGGTGGTGGTTTTGTTATTATTTTATTTTTTTTCCTCCCTTCCTTCCAAGTCTTTTGTGGTTTTAAACTACATTACAACAGGAGATAGAAGAGAGAAATTTGAACTTTAAACTGCAATGCTGACAGAGACAGAGCTTCTGTCAAAGTTCTCAGGATAAGAGCTGTTCATATAAGCAAAGTGGCATTCCTATTCCTCCAAACCTTTTATTTTTAAGAAGTTTTTGTGCTAGGTTTCAGAATGTCTGCCAGCAAGTCCAAGTGTGACATTGCCATTGATGCTGGCACTAACACAAATGGTAGAGAAACTTCTGGAAGACTTGGCAAGGCAGCTTCTGGTCTGCTTTAATCACTGGCTTGCAGAAAAATGAGCACATGGGCAAGGTGTAGGGTCCAGACAATCCTCCATTGCAAGATTTATGTAGCTGTTTTCTTTTCATAGCTCTGCCTGTTTGGAAAGGCTGAGGAAATACCTTCACTATGTCAAAGTAGGAAGATGTGTTTCCCAAGAGTTCAGGAAATTTAAGCCAGTTGTGTTGGTACTGTCCTGTCTGAGCTGTTGCCTTTCCAGGTATCCTTTTCAAAAATCACAGGGAACAGTGGTGATGGGAATCAGACTGCCTAGACTGTCATTTTGGTGTAGTTGCCTTTGAGCTAATTCTCCATTACTGTTTCACCCTGCATGGAAAAAAACCCCAACAAGCGGAAAGGGCATGTGTATGTTAGTGGTGATTCAATTGAAAGCAATGCTGTAGCCTTTTCTATAGGCTGGGGAAACTTCTCTGTCTTAGAAGGGAAAATTGCATAGTATATCAATCCCTTTGCTAAGGTTTGGGCTTTTTTAGTAGCTTAGGCAAACATACACAGTGTAGATGTCTTCCAAAACTTATTTTCTATCTATGGTGGTGCGGAGACGTAGGTTTCTTTGTTTTCTTCCTCTGTGTCTCTCTCTGAAGATGAGACCTCATTCTCCTGGCTGCTACTGACTCTTAGTTGTTAGCATGATTTGGCAGTAGCTACAGAGGTTCCAAAATCTGGAAGTAATGCCTGTAAAATTCAGGTTGCTGTGACTTGTTTCTGGTGGTGATCAGTAAAAATAAATGGCCTGTGATAGCTGTTAAGTTGCATTTATAAGGTTTGAAATCTACAACTATGTGTAGAAAAACAGTATCTTGATTGCAAATTGGGAAAGAGGGGATAGAGTCCATGGAGCACGAGTAAATACGTACTTTACAATGATTCTTTACAGTTAAGTGTGGCTGATGGAACAGTGAAGGGAAAATAGCAACCCGTGTCTATCATTCCTCCTAAAGTTAAGAGCAAAACCGAAAGTGCAATCCTTCTGGATGACTTACACAGATAGACTGTGGGTTCCACATCCTTCTCTGGCTTCCCTTTGTGTAGCAAGAAAAAAAGCTCAGTGTCTTTTTGAGAAAACAGCTTAGAGGCAAGTTTTTCTGCAGTGTGAAGGCTTTCTAAAACATCTTTCTGACTGTTCAGGGGGTTATTTTTATTTTTTTTTTTCCCCAGCCATGATTCAGAAAAACCTTCACTACAGAACAGAGAGAGAGATTTGCAGAAGACCTAAATTCGTGTCTCAGACAGAGGTGGAAAAGACAAGAGCAAGGTAAACTGCAACTGCTCATTCTGAGGAGATGGATTTAGTGCATTGTGAATGCAGTGACTTCCAACGGTGTAAATAAGGTGAAGGAGTAGCTGTTAAGGCAATTGTAAAATAAATTGAGAGGGGAAGGGACATACCTTTGCTACAACACTGTCTAGCCAGGGCAGTATTGCAGCCTGGCCAGCAGTTTTCAAGCAACTCGGGAGTCTTGGGGTGAAGGAAGTTTGGGCTTGGCCACAGAAAGTGTGGAAGCATTGAAAAATAATCCAACATGTAGCAAGGTTGTAGGGAGCTTCTGATTAGAGGGAGCTATCTTATTAGAGCAGCTGATACAGATGGCAGCAATAACATTTATGCATACCAGCCCTTTCTGACATCTGAGATCAGTAATTTTCAAAGCTAGACACAAGTTTAGAAACCATTCTTTTGCAAACAACTAGACAATCTGAGAGGAAAGTCGGAGTTGTTACAGGTGGAGTAAAAGGTGGGAGTCTGCAAGGAGAGAGATTTTATGTAATTTCATGTGCAGCCAACTTTTTCTGTGCATTCCCTTGCAGCACACTGTGCTTGCTTAACACAGAAAAGAGCAGCTAAACACACTAACTAAAATCAGGATGTAAGTAGAGGGGAGGATGTATCTATCTTGTTGCTGTCACACTGACATGATACTGGATGTATTTTTATTTTTCTACTCCAGTGTAGCAGAGCTTTTATGTATACATTCAACTCTTGCAACTAAGAGAACTACTTTGTATTTAGTTCAGTGTATATCTAATTTTTTTTCTCATTTGGCGTCTTGGTTCCTGCCATAAGTATTGTCATGATGAGTTGGAACAAGTATTTTCATGTACTGAACTGAAAAGACAATTTCAAAATATTTCTGAATATGTTCAGTTGCCTGTATTCTCCCTAAACTTGGCAAACAAAATCATATGTACCTAAAATGTACGAACTTGATTTGTTTTAATTAGCTATTTGTAATGTCTTGTAATGTACAGGGGCTTTAAACATACAGAAGAGTTTAAGGGTATTCCAGCTCACTGGGACAAATCTGCCCTGCCTGAACTGGGATTCCAGGTTTGGAGCTTTTTGTTTTTTCTCTCCATCCGTTTTGTTGCATACAAGTTTCTTACAACGCAAGTTCAGTGTTTCTTGTGACTTTGTAGATGACTGTTTCTTAATGTAACGTAACGCAGAGGTGTTGGTAAATTTGAACCCGATAGAACACTGGGCAGACCTAGAAGTGAAACCAGACCCAAATTTGAACTAACAAATGGTGGCAATATAACCATGGCAGCATTGACTTCCACTTTGCTTGGCAAATTTGACCGAAGCGAGACTCTTACTGGTGCCCAAGATTCACAGCTTCCACGTCCAACACGTGCTGAAGCGTCAGAGATAAATCATGCCTCTAAATTTCAGGGTAACCATTCCCTGAGCTGTGCATGAGTAGACTGTTGTACGTCTAAGGAGCACTGCTGAAATCAGCAGAGTTCAGGCTGGGATCATTTATTAAAATGTGCTGTAACTCCAGTGGAGTGAACTTGTTTACCTTTGTAACACAGCCAGTTAACACCTGCGTGGCTTACCTTTGCTGACTTCCTGCCTGCCTCTGCCACCAGCTATGCCAACTCTAGTAGTTACGCCTACGGAAGAGGTCTTCTTGTGAAGAAGATACGAAGCTTGAAAATTGCTAACTTGCAAAATGCAAATCCTCAAGAAATTGTCAATAAAAAATTGGGAAGGCTAACACAGACATTCTTGATGTTCCCAGGGAAAACATGCAAGTAGAAAACTTTGCTTGCTTTCAGGACTGTCATGTAAGAAACTGATTTTTGACAGTGTGTCCTTACTCTTCCTTAAAAGGGTTGATCGAATAAAGCCTTTTCAATTTACTTAAAAACATAACAGGCAGTGCAGTTTGTGTTCACTGGCTGTAGGCAGTATAAAGATATAAAAAGCATGGGTGCAGAGGTACCCTTTGATTTGCTGCAACATAAATTCTCCATTCTTTTATTTATGTGCTCGTATCTTCTGTTTATTTACATATGGTTTGATATATGCATGCAAATATGTCTTGGCCCAAATACGAAAAGGGGCTGGGTGGCTGCACAAAAGCATGCAGCTCCTTTAATGTCCTCTGAGAGAGCAACCTGGGTGTTTTAAACCCCAGAAGTTAATGTTCCCGAGGTAAGAGCTCACTTTTACAGAGCAGGGATCTCTAATCTGCCTTTTTTCCAAGAGTATTTCTGCTGCTTGTGCCTCTACTTCACAGAAAAGACTTTAAAGGACTGAGTAGTGCACTAGGTAGGGTGGCTTTGTTATGATTTAGTAAAAGGTTAGAGTAGCTTTTTAATCTCTTCCTTACAGCTGATTGAGCTTGACAGTTCTTCTGAAGAATACAAGAAAGTCAAGGTGGACTTTCAACGCACAATGCCCAAAACAGTTATTAAAAGGATTCGTAGAGTTCAGAACCCATCTCTCTGGGCATTGTATCAATGGTAAGTGTAAAATACTGCTCTGGTATGTGGGCATGAAGTTTGTTGTTTCTGCAGTTAGCTGCATGCTAAAGATAGACACACACATTCCTGAAATGCAGCTGCGTTTAAGAGTCTGCTTCCATTCTCCCACTGAAATACCTACCCAGGATCAACGTGTTGATCAAGATGTACCGGCGAACCCAAAACTCAAGTCAAGACATATTGCTTAGAATGGTCAGGTGGGCTCTGTGGGCAGAATCCTTGCTCCTGGATAAGTTGTTCTGACTTCTGCCAGGCCTGTGTCCGGGACAGCTGCCTTCCACTGAAGCTCTGAAGCTGGTAATCAGTCACAACACTGGGACAAACGCCGGTTTGTAGCTGGTCAATACTGAAACAGCTTTCAAAGCTAAATGCAAAACTTACTAAGGGAAAGCCTTAACATGAACTCCTGTGTTTAGAAAAAAAATAATGTGAAGGTTCCTCCCCCTCTCCCAATAGGCAGTGAATGAAACAAAAAATGTTTATTATTATTTATTTATCTGGAGGTGTTTGTGTATAACGAAGGCATGTTGTTGCACATCTAGACAGCAAGATGCCCCATATGCCCAAAGAGTAGGGCTTAACGTAAGGATTTTTAGAATGTACTGTTTGTGTAAAATTATCTCTGTGCCCTAGTATGGCTGGAACCTGTCTGGGTGCAGCCACCATGGAACTGCAAAGATACTGCCTCTTATTGCAGGCAGAAGGAACAAATGCAGAAAAGCAATGGTGGAAAGGCTGCGGACGAGCGATTTTTATTTCATGGGACCAGTAGAAAATACACTGAAGCCATCTGTCAGCAAAACTTTGACTGGAGGATCTGTGGCCTTCATGGGACAGTCTACGGCAGAGGTTGGTTTTCAGCCCTTCCTTTAACCCCAGACTTGCTCAAAAATTGTCATAGTTACTGCAGAGGTGTCAAGTTAGAGAGAGGGCACGCAGTCAACCTAGGGCTTATCTCTGTGATGATGTGGACAATGCAGCTGATCTTGGCAGTGATCATTTGGAGCTAAGGCATACTGAAAGGCCCTGACCTGTGTTCCACTCCGTCCTTGCAAGAAAAGGCAAGCTTAAGGGAGGCCAGTTGTAGGGATGGTTTCTCCTAGAGTTCAGGATTACTTCTGTTCCAGTTTCTCCAGGCTCCTGCAGGAAGGCAATGTGGCATTATTTGGTTTGGTTTGTTGTGTTTTTTTTTTTTTTTGTTTGTTTCTAGGAATGTAAATGCCAACCTGCTTACAGGCTTTTTGCCTTGTTAGTAAATTATATTCCTTTACATTGCCCTGTGTACAGGAGAGCATCACCATACCAAGTGGAATAGCCAAGAGGCAGGCTGACTGACTGACTACCCACCCATCTGAGTGAATACTTGTAACTCTCAGAAATGTTCTAATGAACATCAGTAGCCTCTGTCAGGAGAGGAAGTCGGGTGAGGTTGGGGAAGGTGGACATCCAGGGTCAGGAGGAGAACTTTCTGAGGAATATGATAACATTGAACACATTACTTGTGTGGCTTTTTGATATGTGTGCTGTGAAGAATAGGTGTAGGTAACACATAGTGGTCATTTTCACTAAGGTGGCCATACAGGCCAAGTGAAAGCTTTGGAAAGGCCACTCATGAACTGCTTCATTGATTTGCTTATGAACTTGCTGTCACACTGTAGTACTTCACTGCCTGCAATTCTGGTGTCTTATTAACTCTGTCTCGTCTCTTCTGCAGGAAGCTATTTTGCTAGGGATGCATCTTATTCTGACAATTACTGCAGGGAAGACTCTCACACCAAGACCATGTTTCTGGCACGGGTGCTGGTGGGGGAGTTCACTCTTGGTAGTTCTTCTTATGTCCGGCCTCCCTTGAAGGACAACCAAAACTTCTATGACAGTTGTGTGAATAACTCTTCAAACCCCTCTATCTTTGTCATCTTTGAGAAGCAGCAGATTTATCCAGAGTATCTCATAGAATACATTGACCAGGCACTGGCAAAAATGCTATAGCAGCAAAACCTGTCATCGTGACGTCTAGCCGATATAAACATTTTTTTTAGTAGGGGCTTAAGAAAGAAAAAGTGATTTTTTGGAAGTTGTGTAGTTGGGTAGGTGCGTGTTAAGAAACATTTATTCTCTGTCCTATTTTTGCACTAGAAAATGAAGGGTCAAAAGACACAAAGGATGTCTTAGAATTCTTAAAATCCTGTGCCTGTCTCCTAGTCTTTAGCAGGTATCATGTTTCCCTATATCGCTGGAGACTTCCATAATTTTACTAGGTGAATTCACTGATGGTTGTAACATGAGGATTGGCTATGACTGCCAAGTTTAAACAATATTTAGTTATAACTGTTTCAGGATAGATCTTCACACATGGTTGTTGATCAGAGGCTGTCTCCACCTACCTGCTAATGTTTTAACTCTAGATTTGATAAAACCTGCTTTTTAAAATAATCTGTCTCCTGTAACAGTAGACATTCAAATGTTTGCAGATGAGATTGTACCATCCCCATCTCTGCTCAACTCATTGCATAAATTCTTAGCAGCATTGGGTTTTTTTGTTCCTACTTAACCTTCACCAAGAAAGCCTCAAAAATTAAACTTGCTTGTTGAAAGGGAACAGAGACTTACTTTCACTTGTTAATTTTCTCCTTTAAAACAAGTACCAAAGATGTGAAGGGTTGCCTGGTGCTGTGCTACTCACTTGACAATGTATCAAATAAAACTGTATTTTAGGTGTTTGAGAACACCTGTTTGTATTTTAGGTGTGTGAGAACACAAATTTTTCATGACTTTCACTGTGCCTACAAATGAGAGTGTGGTGGCAGGTTCCGGGGGGGAAAAGGAGGCAACTCACCCTGTCATTTAAGAATATCACAGTTAGGAGTGAAGTACACTGCTTGCACTGCCTGATGAGCAATACCCTGTTTCTGTTTATGGTTCTCTTTCAGCTGTTGGGAGGAACAGTGAGTGACTGGCTCTCACTAGGCATGCTGCCCCTTTGGTTGCAGGGGATACGCTGGTTACCAGTGTAATCAGGGTGTCTTTGGATTCTTTTGCAGGAAAAATGTGCTTGCTTTGGGAGTCGTCTTCAGCCACAGAGCTGAAACCTTTAAAAATCTGAAGATTAAGTTGAATATTTAATTGTTCCCAGCAAAAGATGTTATTAGTGTTGACATGTATGCAGATAATCAAAAAACTTGAACTGTCAAGTATTTCTTAAGACTGAAGTTGCTGATGCGTAGACAGATACTTTATCACAGCTTTAATGCTCCTAAATAAGTACTCATTAGCCATGGTGTACTGCAAAAGCCTTAAGATATACTTTGTTTAGGACCAAAACCACCTCATCTCTGCCTGTATTCTAGAAGCACTTCTTTTTAATTCATCTGGATGATGATTGACAAGTGTACACTGGGTAACTTCATTCCTTCAGCACTGTGAACCAGGAGCTTTGCCATGATTAGCTGGAGTAGAGCTGTGCGGAACTCCTTTGTGCATGAACTGTAAAACTAGCAGCATGATCTCTAGGGGGAAATACTCCCATTTGTGTTTAAACCCAGTAAAACACAGGATGTGGGAAAGCAAGCTGACTCTGTTCTTTCTCTGAAACATTTGTAATAGACCATACATGATAAATCTCACATTGGCAAATGAGCTTGTCAGCAAATACTCCATTCAGTGAGGAGGATAACATTCTGTATGAAAGCTTTCATACCTGTGCAGAGTATTTCTGCCAAAACAAAAACCCATGTTCACCTACATGTTCATGGCAAAAGAGAATACCAGTAGTATGCCTTTCTTCCTCTGACTATAGTCAGCATTTCAGCTAAGAACTGGAATAGCTAAAGTCACGTTACTATTTTGCCAGAAAATTGAAACAAACTTTTTTTTTTGTGCAAAAAGTTGAGATATTTTTTAGTAACGGTTTTGATGGCTAGTAATATTTTTAAAACCTTTAACTTAATTCTTGGAGGGGATGTAAGTGTGTGTAAGTAAAGTAATTGGAATAAAATGGCTGGTTGTGTTACTTTGTCATGTTGTGGGTTTTGTTTTTTTTTTTTTTTATTTTGCATTAATGGAGAAGTTCCCACATTTTCCACTTTTGAAACTGCAGTGGTAACTTTCTTGTGTGTAGTAAATTAACCAGGTATTCAGACCACTCAGTTCCTTGTAATGGTTTTCTTAACGGTTTTCTCTCTCAATAGTAAGAGCAACACGTTTCACGTTTCTGAGTTCTTGGAAACTTTCTTAAAGATGCTGCTGCGAAGTGGCCGAGTCCTCCTGCGGCTGTTTGGATGGCATTTAGGGATGAACAGACTGAAGAGTCGTTTGCATTAAAACTAAGCTTTAGGCAAAGATCCGTACGGACCCTCTTTGCTGGGCGAGGAGGTTTCCTTCTGGCTGCTTCGGGCCCCGGTACTAGTGTCTCAGTCCCGCGCGTGCGGTGTGATGAGGAAGGCCCCTCCGCCCGGTGCGAGGAGGAAGGCCCCTCTGCCCGGTGCGAGGAGGAAGGCCCCTCTGCCCGGTGCGAGGAGGAAGGCCCCTCCGTTGCCCGGTGGGATGAGGAAGGCCCCTCCGTTGCCCGGTGGGATGAGGAAGGCCCCTCCACCCGGTGCGGTAACGGCCCCACCGTGGCGAGGCAGCGGGCAGGCCGTGCCGCTGGGGCAGCTGGAGCAGGGGCGCCCGCGCGCCCCCAGCCCGGGCCGGCTGCCGGGCCGAGGGGCCGGCGGGCACTTCACCGCGGCGGTCGCTGGGCCCTGCCTGCAAGGGGGTTCATCGCTGCCCTCTGCCCACCCGGAGGAGGCGGGTGCCGAATGCCGGCTGGGAGTGGCGGCAGCAAGGCAGGGGCCGTGCGCTGCCCGGCCTGGGCACCGGCAGCCTGGCCGGAGCCGCCGCGGGGTGCTCGGAGCTGCTGGGCTTGGAGAAGGCGCGCTTTGGCGCCGAGCCCGCTGCTCGGCTCTGCCCGCGGGAGCTGGGGAAAGGCTGCTTTGCCTGGCTGGTACAGAGCCAGGGCTGCTGGCGCTCTCACCTGCTTTAGCAGGGGCTAGGTGTCGTTCCTGTTTGCGGCCCGGTCACAGAGTCACCTCTACGTGCAAAAATCCCAGCAGCTGGGGGAACCTGGCTCCCGCCTTGAAAGTGGCCGTAGCAGCCAGCAGCGCAGGGAGCAGACGTCTTACGGACTGACTGGACTTGTCACAGCTAGGAGAAAAAGTGGGGCCAGTGCGAACCGAGCGATGAAATCAGTAATTTAGAAGCTTTAAATCCTTTTAGCATCTTTACCACTGTTAATGCACAGAAGAATCGGATATTGGGTAAAACTGTGTCCACGATGGAAACATCGTTTAACAAAGGGAAATGAGAAGGTGGTCATTTTAGAAAGTACCACACAGAAAGAAGTAATTCTGCAGTTTAATACCAGGTAAGAATAGATAGTTCAGATTTGCAATCAATGAAGCATAATAATTCCCAACACCCAGCTCCATTTTTCTAGGAATACTATTTGTAAAGTACAAAACTGTAAAGGTTTTCTGTATCAGCATGCTCATTAAAAATACCATGTTATACGGTCAGCATTCCGTAATCATTGCAAAGTCCCAGAAGATGTTTTTAATAGAAGCTTTCCTTTCCCAAGCAGCCTTTGCTTCCTATCAGCTGTCAGAGAATGACTAAGACCTTTCTGTAAAACAGACATGCCAAATTTTAAACAAACTCACAGCTCAGCAATGCAAGACAACACACTTACTGTTTCGGAGGAGAGAAATTATTTTAAATCAGCTTCCATGTTCCTCCCTAGACTCAACTGCTGTTGACTGAAGCATGCGGTACTAGAAATGCTGATAGTCACCATAGGTTAAGGACATAAAGTTATGGTTTGGTGTTGCAACTACAAAAACACCACTTTTGGGGTTTTTTTTTGGGGTAGATTTGGGTTTTTTTTAATGAATTCCAAGACTGACAGGTCAGTACTTCACCACTACTACCTGTACAGTTCTGGTTTAAAAAAAAAAATAAAAAATCCCGTGAAAGAGAGAAAATCTTCCAGGAGCAAGATCCAATAATCTGATCAGCATTAAGGCAGCGTGAGGGAAGAAGGCAGCAAAAGGTGCTTGTTGGAGAGAAACTAGGGAACGAGCTAGGGATCAGTGAGCAGATGGCTCCTTCCAGCAACCCTTGCAGTGAAGCTGAGCAGTCAGTCTCTTCTGCTACCATGACACGTCTCTGTGCACACCACCAGGAGAGATGCTGTACCTAAGGAAACCTCGAGCAGAGTATGTCAGCAGGCAGAAGGTTAACACTTGCAAAGAACCAAAAGGTGATTCCCTATTTTTATGGTGCCATAAGAATTTATGCTATTTTTAACATACTTTTTTGTTTGTTTGTTTGTTTTTTTTTTTTTAAAAAAAGAAAAGGACCTTGAGACTAAGCCCATCTCCTCTCGTGGTTTTGGTGTATAGCCAACCAGTTTGTGGTGCCCACTGAAGGAAAAATTTTTTTTATCTGGTCAAGTGATCACTGCTGTGTGATGCTCCACTAGCTGTGTGGTGACTGAAGGGCTTTGCAAAGGTGCAGGAAAGAACCTGGAGGGAATGTGAAGAGTGGAAGCACACCCCTGCTTTGGCTGTGAGGATGCATGTGCACAGTGGTACAGCTTCAACAGATCCACGGTGCTGCTGCAGCCGGCAACCAGACACGTTCCGGGGCTGCTCCAGGGTCACATAAGGAATCAAGAGCTGCTGGGACTGATGATCCTGGATCCCACTCCCTTGCCATTAGCATTAGTGCATGCAGCACTCTTAATTTCCTTGAGTCAATGACCTAAACGAGGATGGTGTGAACTACAGTGCTTGGAAAGGAAAGGTCTCAGTGTGAAGCAGAAGTTGTACCAACACCTTCTGACTACCCGTAAATTTCCTCCAGTCTTCCCACATTCAAATTCGTATCTTCTTTTTCTCCACCTTTCCAACAGCAGTTCAGTAGCCAGCAAAATGGCTGTCACCTCATTTCTCTGGCCTTAGCTACCAGAACTTAACTGGTAAGCAGGGGAACTCTTCATTCCTCCTCTGCTGTGTCGATGCGATGTGCCAAGAGCAAATTGTTGATCTAAGCGTGTTTCAAATCAGTTCAAAAGCATGAAGGCTGTGCAACTCTTTCCCCGTATAGACACAGGGAGAGATTAAGTGTTGTGCAGGAGACTTGGCTTTGATTTTTAGCAGAGTTCGTGATAAAATCCAATGAGCTGGATCCTAGGTCTTCTGCTACAACTGTGGTGCCTCCTGGGCTTTTTTTAGGGTAGGGACTTACAAGTGCGTGAGAAGGACGTGTGAGATAATGAATTGTAATTAAAATCTATTGTAAATAGAGTGTACACTTAACACCTGCTGCATTTATTAAACTTGCGCATGAAGAAAGCATTCTCAAAGATGAGTGAAAGGAAGTGTAATGTCGAAAAGCAAGTGGAAGTGGGATGCTTCTTTACAGCTACTATTCACAGCAATTTGAAAACCACCAAAAAGACCGTGGATACCGTATCTCGTTTGAAAAAGTGACTGGAGGCTCTCCCACAGAAGGGCAGTGAGGCAGCACCTACTGACCATCAGTGGAACCGAGGCTCCTACCTGTCTTGGGGTTTTGAAAAATAATTATACCCAGTGAGCCAGTGAACAACGGGTCCCATCCCTGGAGGCCTCACGATGCACATTTTATTTTAGCGAGATTCTAGCATAATGTAGACTCCATTTTTTGGTCCAAGTGTGGCTTTTGATTTCAGCTGCAAAGGAATCTGAAACAAGAAAGAGCATCTTATGCATAGTTGTATGTATTTGCTTATGTGTGTATAACACCCCCGCATACAGACAGACAGTTTTGCTGGAGGACCAATTCATACCAGGATTACTGTAGAAGCTATAAAGTACTTGTTTTACAGTCAGCTGTGGTAGTATAATATTAAATAGAATTTACAGCCAGAGGCTGAGGCAGTGGTTGCCCAAATATACTGTTGATCTGAACAGAAAGAAATTAACTCTCTAAACTCTAGAGCTGTTGAGTAAGTGCCAGGTGCAGCGCATATAGCAGTAGGCATATACTGAAGTGTTGAGCTCCCACGAAAGACGTACCCCCGTTCCCACCCTGTATAAATCATGGTATTTTGACTGCACTGTTGCTACACTGCTCTCCGCTAAGGCACGGCTGTGTAACTGTTTGTTTTCATGGAAAAATCATAAAGGTTAAATCACATTTTGGTTAAAGCATGCAGTCCAGGCCCCTCGTCCCTTCTTATTATGGAATGGGCTCTAGCAGTTTCCTCAAGTGAAGAGGAGGTCACAGAGGCAAGCCAGTCACCCTGTCTGGGACACACTGTCGGCTCCCTGACGTTGACAAGGGTGGCCTTTAACCCTCTGCATGTACCAACCTCAGTCTCTGGGCAGGTCTTAAACTGAAACTTCTGCAAAATCCTCAGCAGAGTCATCTTTGTTTCCAGTAAACCCATTTTCATGCCAATGCAGCCACGGGGTCCTGCCCCAAAAGGCAGGTATGCAAAGGGATGTCGTTCCTTCTTGGCCTCCTCTGTAAACCTAGAAGGTGAAGAGATGGAAATGTGTTCAAGAAATGCTCTTCTGCTCCTGATTACATGTTTTTCATTTACATGTCAAAAGGTGGTTATTTCAATTAGATTTAATGGACAGGTCAGGGGGACTATTGACAGGTTATGTCCTGATGGGGCTGACACCCTTAAGTGAACAGATAATTGATTTATGACCCTCAGTCTTTGTCAGCTGGTGATTCCAGGAAAGGACAGACAGGCACTGGTATTACTTCCAATCTATCTTTAATGAATTGCCTTCATTTGATGACCATGCTCAGAATAGTGATCACTTCAGGTGCAGACATGCTAGGTGTACAGACCTGGGCGTGCATGAGTGAGAGACTGCAGCTAAAAGGAAACCAAGGAGCTGCAATGTGAACTAACTGGAATGAGCAACAGCACTTCCCTGCTGTGAGAGGCAGATGCAGATCAACAGGAATCTCCCTCTGAAGATCGCAAGGGGAGATGAAATCTCATGGGATTGGATGGGCCACGGAAGACAGTTGTTACAATTCAGTACAGCCTTCTTTCTGCTCTTGGCCCAAAGAGACCAGGTTCCCAGTTGGGAAACACTGAAATTGCAGGCTGTTCTGTCCTTAGAGCTGACGTACCTCAGCCCAATTGGAAAGGCTGATTAATGTGGCAGTCTGTATGCAGATCTGCATCAACTAGCTAGGTTTAAAATACTTGATCAACCCATTAGAAATGAGCCTTTTTTGTTTTTCTTTTTTCTTTTCTTTTTTCTCACAAAGAAGGAAACAAAATTCCTATTTGAACAGCAGTCCAAAGGAAAAAAAAAAAGTAAAATCTGTTTGCCAACATGTGCTGGTTTTGCCTGGCATAGAGTTAAATTTCTTCATTGTAGCTAGTGTGGGGCTATGTTTGGGATTTGTGCTGGAAACTCCTGATAACACAGAGACATTTTCGTTACTGCTGAGCAGCGCTCACACAGGGTCAAGGCCTCTTCTGCTCCTCACCCCACCCCACCAGCGGGCGGGCTGGGGGGGCACAATAATTGGGAGGGGACAGGGCTGGGACAGCTGCCCCCAGCTGCCCCAAGGGACACCCCACACCGTACGACAGGATGCTCAGCACATCGGGCGGGGGGAAGAAGGGGGAAGGGGGGATGTTTGGAGCGATGGCACTTGTCTTCCCAAGTCACTGCTATGTGTGATGGAGCTCGGCTGTCCTGGGGATGGCTGAGCACCTGCCCGCCCAGGGGAAGGGGTGAATGAATTCCTTCTTCTGCTTGGCTTGTGCGTGGCTTTTGCTTTCCCTATTAAACCGTCTTTATCTCAATCCATGAGTTTTCTCACTTTTACCCTTCCGATTCTCTCCCCCATCCCACCGGGGGTCAGCAAGCGAGCGGCTGCGTGGGGCTTAGCTGCTGGCTGGGGTTAAACCACGACACAGCTGCCAAGATGGATGCATACTGGACCCAATATGTGCAGACAAGAGTACAGTGTCCAAGGCAGGACAAGTTATTAGGGCCAATGCACAATCGACGAGGTGAGGCTTACCCTGGGCTGTGCTGAGTCACTGATCCGCGCGGTTCCTTAAAACAGGCAAACCTTTACAGTGATGTCGTGACCTGGAAATCTACATCGTCCTCCCATGTCATAAAGTATTTGGAGCTGTTCTGGTAGTACAGAGCTACTTTTCCAGTTCTGTATGTGGATAAAGGTTCTGTCCTTCGTGGATAGAGTCATCCCTGAAAATCTCTCATCTGTTTGGGTGCAGTTTGCAAGAAATTTAGACCGCTAAGGCCCGGAGGACTCATGCACGATAGAAAGAAATGAGAGGTAACGCGGGCTATTTTGAGGTTTGGAAAATAAGAATATTGTATATTTCCACTAACCCCATCCCCATGGGATACTCCTGCAGAAAGTACTATAGAAGCCTGTAATTTGAGGTTGAGGGCCCAGTAACTCATGCACTGAGCACTGTTGCATATCCCATGAAAACAGGATAATGCAATTCTTGCCTTGCAAACTGCCATATATCATTCTGCTAAATTTAAAGTCTCCCTTGTATTATTCCTGATGCAAATTGCAAAACAAAATATTAGGGGAAAAAAGACTGTAGCTGAATTAATGTATTTTTTGTTAAGCTCTTATTTTATAATTCTTACTAACATTACCAACTGATACAAGCTGGGGAGAGTGTTACTAATTATGCTTCATTCCTCAGGGAAATTTCAAAAGGGAATTCAGCTCAGATTCCTAACAAACAGCACCGTATGAGTCAAGGGGACTGCAGCCCCCACTATCTGCTCTACCCTGTAATGCACTTTCATACTACAGTTAAAATGGTGAATAAACATACAAGACAGCATTTCTAGGTAAGTGTTGCTAAAAAAAACCAACCCAGACTTCCAGTTATTGCTAAGATTCTTCCCCAACAAAAGCTCTGGGCTTCTGTAACCTTGGCATTGCTCTTCATGACCTAAGGTGCCTGACAGAGCATATGCCAAGATTTGCTCCAGAAGGAGCACTGGGCAAACCCGTCTACACCACAGATGTGTCGTCTTGCTGGCAAACATGGTTCTGGGCTGCCTGCCTCACACCCGGTTGGTTGGGGAGCATGTCCTTTTTTTCTTAGTAGACTTTTCAGCGTAGTGGTAGCTTAAAATGCAGCTACCCACAGAACAGCTTAAAATATAGCTGCCCACAAAACTAAACCGTGCTTCCACGCAGCACCGCACCAGCTGAAACTCTCCCTGCAAGCTCAACTCAGCATCCGTAAGGTAGGGCAGGGTACAAAACCACAACCTGACATGCCCCCCCGCCCGCCCCCCCACTCGAAGAGAATAAATGCTTCATGTGAAAGTACGTCTTGCCAAGCAAAGCTAAGAACCCAGGGTCCTGGCTTACAGACAGAGAGTAAGTTCCCCGTGGGACAGGTACCCACACCGTGACACGAGTTCAGCTGAGAAGGCTGCTCTGAACCAGCCGGGAGCTGGGCGAGTTTCCTGGGTACCTCCGTGCCAGTGAGTATGCCATCTCACTTCAGAACTTCTGCATCCGGAGGTGACACTATTTTTGCAGGACCTGATTTGGCAACAGGCCTGAAAACCTGCGCCACATTTCAACCTTGGCCAAACCTCACGTCCTCTGCGGAACCCACCGCTATCACCACTTATCCAATTTGCTAGAAATAACATATGTTTATGATCTAAATTAACCTGTGCTCCTCTGGGTGGAAATGCTGCTTTGGGTGAACAGTGGGGGACTGTGGCTGTGGACGAGCAGCGGGATCTGGCGTCTCTGCTGGACAGGTTGGAGTCTTGTGCCCACCCTGATGTGTGAAACAGCGTTTAAAGCAGGCCCCTGATCCAAACAGGCACAAATCAGGGCTTCAGCCCCAGAATGGGAGGCATTACTCCACGCACCTCTCAGGAATGAACTTCTCAGGCTCTGGCCAGAGCTCAGGGCTGCGGTGGAGATGCCCAACGGCGGTTTCAATGACGGCCCCAGCTGGAATACGCTGCCCCAGCACCACGCAGTCTTCAGCTGCTTCCCGAGTGAACCTGCAACAGCAAGTGTCATGTATCCCAGATGATTAATAAAGGTAAGAACACAGCAGGAGGGAAGCATAAAAGTCAACCTCTTCAGCTGGACTGACCCTGCGATTTCGGGAGTAACACTCTCCCAGTAGATAAATGCAGCAACCGTCGCTGATGCTAGCGGCTTCTCAGGTTACAATCATCTTCACCTAGAAGCACACAGCTCCAACCCAGCTGGCTAACTTTTGCCCTTTTCACAGTAAAGCATTTCGGGTTGCTTACAGTCTTCCAAAATGTTAACTGCTAAACCGCAATTTTGCTGCTAATGTCGGCTATAGATTCATTTTTTTTATGAAAACTGCAGATGAAATGTGTCAGTCATCTCTAATAACAGGCAGAAAGAGTATGCTGGTTTGCTTTCAGGAAAAAAAAATATATCAAATATAGCTTTGAGTTTGTTTGTTTAAGAAGCTCCTCCACATTAGGACAGCACCTGAAACTTAGCAAGGGATGATTTTAATATTAGGTCTAAGCGTTCTGCTGCTGCTACAAAAATATAGCCAATTCACAAGCCTTGGGAAACGGCATTTCACATACACTCATCAAAGATAGGCATGACGTTAGCAACAAAAGTCTCCAGTTTCCTCCCACCTTGTGGTGACAGGTGACAGAGTGGGACTGTCCTTAGGTACCCCATCGTGACAAGAAGGCTGAGAAAAGCCACCTGCCAAAGCTGAGCTTGGGTCTACAAACCCTGTGAAAAATGGTGTGTGGGTGTGCACGCGTGGTGGCAGATCCCCATCTAGGTCTTTTGGTGCTGAGGTGGTTGGGACAGACCCCAGACCAGCCCGGAGCCGGGCGCCCCGGTATCCCCCCAGCAGACACGTGCCGGCGCCAGCGGGGAGCGCCGGGGCCAGACAATGAGCAGGAGCTCCCCTTGCTGCTCCCTGCCTCCAGGGCTGGACAAAGGCGCCGGTCCCAGGGCTGTCAGTCTGGTACCGTTACAGGAACACTTTCTTTCCTCACCGTCACCCATCTCTCCCTTTCTCATAGACAGATAAAGAACAGAGGCTCCAAACTGGGAACAAAACACCGGCACGCTGAGAGCCACACTGACAGGCCATCCTTCTCATCCTTACATGAATTTGGTGATAGTGGAAACATGAGTTCTGGGGAAGAATGTTAGTCTGGGCTAGTAAATTCATTTTTGAAAAAAGCCAACATGTTTTATAACAAGCTTGGCTGCCACCGAGTTTTCCCCTACGTCAGCACTATCCTTGTCGTAGGCAATCAGCACCTTTCCGCAGCACTGGCCTGTTCTGTCCCTTCCACATCCATCAGAGTAAAAGCCAGATCAATGAACACCAACCAACAATGCCAACCGAAACTTCAGAACAACTCTGCTCCATTCTCATTCTATTTCCCACCTGACAAACATTGATTGTCTCCCAGTGTTTCAGCTGAAACTCAAAGATCCCTGATGCCTTAACTGGCAAAACAATTTCCAGCTGTATACCATGTATAACATAGTAAAGCCCAGTCACCTCATCCAGGAGCAAATATCTTTGACATTTACTCTCTGAACAATCCTGCAGATGTCCATGGAAAAATCTTGACTTCCAATCTTTATGAACACATAAAAGAGAATATGGTTTTAAGCTTTTTTTTTTATTTATTTTAAGGTGCTTGCAGTCATGGGGTACATTTTTCAAAGGCTCTCACGGCAAGCTCAGCTTTGGCTCCTTTCCAGTCACCTGATTTTTTCCGCTGGCTTCATGAGAAGTACTGCAACTGGCTGACCACTTAGCATTCTTAACATTTGCATTTATGCTTGTGATAACTTGGAAATTTGACAATCAAATGTTTTCTAATTTCTCTTCCTCCTTGCTTTCACTTCATCAGTATAACTTAGTAAATTAGTCGTGTGAATTAGGGCAAAACTTTCAAAATTTAATGGATGTAGCCATTAGCTTAGCTATATTAATATAACGCAGTACTAAGTGCAAAACAATAGGGGTCCAAGTTAAATACACATGTAAAATACAGCTTTCTGAATGTGCAGCCCTTCCACAGATCAGGGCCTTAACGTCCGACAGGCTAGGGTAGGTCTTTGCTCCGTATCCCCAAAGGCCGCGGCGTACGGAAGCAGCAGCATCTGGCTTTCCAAGGCCAGTCCTGCTGCAGAACGGCTCCGTCCTCTAACCTTGGGGGATGTGAAGAACAGTGAGGAAGGAACATTGGCCAATCTGCTGTTAAAAACTGCTACAGAAATACCAGTATTAGCCAATTTCTCCTCAACAGGCCACATTATTTCTTTCAAATGCACACGCAGTATTGATGCTGGCACAGAGACCAGGGGCACATAGATCTTCCAACAGCAGATTTCCATTTTATAGAGCTAGGGATCTAACTTGTAGAATCAGAAGGGGGGAAAAAAAATTAAAAAAATACCTAAATGCAGGTGGGTACATGCGCAATGTCTCTGCAATCACCATGTCCAGATAAGGGAGTTCTTGTACATTTTGGTAATCAGGGACCATCTGAAAAGGCAGAAAGAAAGGAACAATTACATTTTCTCACATTTAAGTGCCAAACTAATCTCAGATTAGCTTTTAAATCATCTATTTTTTACTGGGCATTTTTCCTGTAGAACTCGATGTCTCATCTAAAACAGCAAATGATAAAATTATACAAAAATGTGGGCAGTAATTAAATGTGTGTGTAACATTCCTTTCATCATCAAAACGCTTTGGTGCGCAGCCCAGCTGAAGATATAATCATAAATCAACTTGCTAGGAAGTATGAAACCCAGGGCATTACAGAGAGCATTAACAGCTACAGCAGAGCTATTGTTTTGCACATGCACTCAGATCTGCGCAGGACCCTCGTTTCTTCCCAAAGACGAGCGCATGGCAGACCAGGAGCACTTTGTTTACAAGAAGCAGCAAGTCCTCCAGTTGCTCTTGCTGATGTTGGAGCAAAGCCTTTGCCCGTCCCCGGTCACAGAACTGAAGCACGGCGCCGGTGCTGTGCAGCGCTCCAAAGAGAACTAATTTTGAAAAAAGAAACAGCAACGACGTGCGGGGGAGTGGGAGGTGGCGCGGGGTGAAGCCGCCGTCGCGGTGGGGACGAGCACGCAGCCCTGAATCGCTCTGCCGAGCGGAGGGGGCTGAGTACAGCTCTCTTCCCCCCAGCAGGATCGGGAGCGTGCGTGGGGAGGGCAGCCTGCTGCCTCCCAGGGCCACTCCTTGGGTAACGCTGCTTAATTCTGCGTGGCGGGCAATCAGTGCCTGAGCCCACATTTCCCTCAGTCTGCAAAACCACTGGGCCTTTGGCAAGGGGCGGTGGGCACGAAAACCCCACCAGGGCTGTAGCTCAGACGACTTTGCCCCTCTGATGGGCAGCAAAGAGACAGCAAGAAACACCAAACCGCGGACGACCACCAGCAGCAGGGACACGACTCAACACATGGACGAACAGATAATTTCTCCCACTGTTACCTTCTTCGAAAAAGGACATTTTCCCTGCCTTATTCAGTGCTGTCAGCAGAGGGCAGCCAAAGTACATCTAATAACCCCATCAGGAAAGCAGAGTTTTGTTATAAATTAGAGCATCTCCTAAAGACTGACACAGAGTAAATTGGGGAAAAGCACCGACGTCAGACTAGACTAAACCTTTTATGAAGATTTGGGGCCCCTGCCGTTCACAAAGGGGACTAGATTCCATCCTTCCTTTATTTACTACAGCACTTTTCATGTATAATGCATATTTTATTGAATTTTCATGCAAAAACATATGGTACATACTGAAAATACTAAGCAGAGAACAACTCCAGATGGTATGCAGAAAAGGCGTACAATAGAACGAGGACACCTTGCTGGATTAGGGTATCCCACTTATTCAGCACTAAGCCACCATGCACCATTTCACATTAACCGATCTCTTCTAAGAAGGAAATAGATACATTCTATTCTCCCCCATTTTTGGCTCAGGAAAGAAAAGCAAAACCAGAGAAAGTAATTTGCACAGGCTGAGCAGAACCAGTGCGTCTGCTCCACTCTTAGGGAAAAAGACGCAACTCAGCTTGTCAATAGATGAAGTATTTTGTCTGTATATGTCAAATATTACCAATGCAGGAAGCACAGACTGCACCGACAGCCTTTTATATCGCAGTAGTGCCTACCAACTCAAACCTCCGGCTTAGGTCAATGGTTATCAGACAAAGGACTAGGCGACTAAAAGCCACAAATGGCCACGATGTCATGAAACCCATGATACGAAGAGCTGTGCTCCAGTAATTTGAACAGCTAAAATCAAAGACAGGAGGATGATTTTTATCATCCTTGTTTTGCAGGAAGGGATCCGAGGGCTACCTGATTGCACATGGGAAATCAGTAGCAGAGGCTGGAAATGAGCTGTGATCCGACTGAAATTTCCGGCCTTTTGTGGCAAAACTACCCTTCCCCATGACCACACAGGTGCTCTACTCTTTGACGTAAATGCATGCTATGGTGTGTATTAAATTTTTTTTCTGTTAATTTTACATCACTCTTTCAGAACTTCCCTCTGTCATTTTTTATGCTGCTCTCCTGCATCTCTTTGAAACCTGGGTCAGCATCGGAGTCCCGTCCTTGCAATCCCTCCTCGACTTCATGGCCAGGGTGGCTGAGGGAAGAGTTCAGGCTCAGAGTAAATGAGCGGTGGAGCCAAGAGCACACCACGATGTGTTCGATTCTCTGAGCCATGCTCTTTCCACTGGGCCTTCCTGTCTCTCTCATAATCCCTCTACTTACTTCTGGAGTCAATAATTAAGATAATTATATGGTAACCTGATATAATAAGTAGCCACTAAATCAAACCGTACATCAACAAATAATATAACAGTAAATTATGAGAGCTTTGATTTGCTCTTTCGAATAGCTTCTATACCTTCAGGGGATTAGCAGTTCAGAAAACAAAACAAAGGTGCAAAACCAGATGATTTTCCTCAGAAGAAAATTCCTTTTATTTACATAAAGAAAAAGGGGTCGGTCAAATGGCAGCGCAGTGAACTCTGCTATCGTGAGCATGGGAGACACATCAGTCATTTCCTACATCTGACGCAATCTAATTATTGGCACTTCCATGCTTTTAGCATCAAAGTAGCTGGACCTAATTTAGTAGTTGTTTGCAAGGTCTGACCTATGGCTGCGGAAAGTACGCACCAGTCAAGTATCTCTATTTTGGAAGGACAGTTTGTTGCTTTTTTCTCCCTTTCAGAGAAAATATTTTCCATTTGTTTTTCCACTCCCTCTCTTCAAAATATTCCTTTAGCCAAGCACATTTCAAAGGAACTTAAATATGCTTTTCTTCCTAAATGTCCCTATTTATATCTTTCAACTGCTGGCAGGTTTGCAGGGTGGGGGGTGGTGTTGTGCAAAGATGCCACTTTAACCCCCTGCAAAAAAAAAAAAAAAAAAAAAAAAAAAAGTCTACATTGACTCTTACTCAAGGTTGGGTGTTTTTTCATTAAGAAAGAGATTCCTTTCTGTAACAAGTAGAGATGTGGGGGCAGAAAGAAGGCACCACACTGCATGTAATAAAACATCCTATATTTTAATTTTGCAGCCACTGCTTTGCACAGCAGTTTGTCTTATGCTTTGCACAGCCTTGTAGTACCTTTTCCTGCTGCTGTGGAAGCGAAATGGCCATGAAACATCTTGTGGCATCTCCCTGCATGCATGCTTCCCCCGTCTGATTTCCGGAGGTGTGGTGGGACACCCTCACCCATCCCAGACCATTCAATCACGTCCGAGGTACAGAAAGCATCTAGCTTGGCCACAGACTCTCCTTTATGACTGACAGCAAATCCCAGGCCTCTATTCCCTAGAAAAAGGTGGGAAATTAATTCCTCACCCCACAGAGTACCCCGAGGTGAAATACCAGCAGTGATTATAAAATTGTCTGTGTGCTACAAGGATGATGCGTGTTTTAATCCCCACATAAATTCCAAGAGAGATAACTGCCTTCAGATCCACCTCTGCTTTTCAGTATTGGCTTTAACGTTTTCTAGGCAGGCAAACCTATTTTTTGCCACCACCCTCAGTTAACTTTTAATTCCTCAATGAACACCAAGGGAATCCAAGTGCTGACAGGAGAGGTCTGGCCCATCTTTCTGCTGCAGTTTGAGATGTTACTGTTCCCAGTTGCTCGCTCCTCTTTGCTGGCTGTGGTTAGCATCACCACAGCCAAGTCAGCAGAAGGGAACATATGCCTGCACCTCAGTTGCTTCCATACAACGTCCAGCATGAACCCATCTTCAGCGACAGTTTAAGAAGAGATCCTAACTTCTCCCCAGGGTAGCGGACGAGTGGGGCACAGATCCTCCTCTGCCACCTCTGATTTGGAAATGGTAATCCAAGTACACATCAGCGAGTAAGAGATTTTCACTTATCCTATCAGTCATGGTCTGGTGGTGCTCAGCAGCCAGAAATGAAAAAAAAAAAAAAAATCAGAGAAAATTTTGTGTAGCTGACACAGTGTGGCATGCACCTGAAATCAATTTGGAAGCAGCAAAGGCTGCAGAGACCACATTCCTCATACCCAGCGCTGCTGAGTCATGGCCTGAGACTGAACCGGCTGTGGTTTCTGAGAAACTGCAGTCCAAATCAAATGCCTCCTGGGCAGGTGTGACTGTGACAAAGTCCATGGCAGAGAGATGACGTGCAGATCTACTCAAGTGCAGATGCAGATCCATGAGTTATCTGTATGCATAGCTACACAGCCCACATTGGCTCTCCCTCAAAATGTAGACTTTGGATTGCAAGAGGATAGGAGGCGGTGAGTCAAAACCAAGCCAGCATCATCGCCGGTGGCTCTCACTCACCCCCCTGTCCAACTGCCGAAAGGGCTACTCAGACCACAGCCACAGCTAGGATTCACAAACAGGTCAATGACGTCTCTAGAACAAATGCATCAAAAGCTGCTGATAGATCAAAGAATCTGCCTGGGGTTTTGACCTCTCTGGTCACCTCTAGGAGCTGCCTGGCCCCTAGCAGAATTAGAGCCCGTGTGCCACGCTCGGCCTGGGAGAGAGGGAAGAAATGCAAGAATATGATGTCAACTTAGGGTTGGCAACCTTGCTAACAACCATATCACGAAAGGAAAGGTTAGAGACAGGGCAGCACTCAAAATGCAGATCAGTGAAAAAGTGGGGTGGGATGGTTCAACAGGCACCTATCTTTAACTTGCTTAAAGAAAGCTTGCCTTATGTTTTACCACTTCCACAACAACATGCTGGAATACCTGTAAAGCACCGAACTAAAACCTCCCTACAATGTCAGGCAGTGAAATAGGGACAAAGTTAATGAAGTAAAATTTCTTGGCTTTATCCTCAGAACTTGGACCAAATACTAAAAATATTCTTAAGGCAGTCCTCAGGCAATGCTTATTGCAAAATCTTTCTCCCTGCTGTCTGTGATCCAGTCTGCACCTGCCAAGTGAAAAGTCTCTCTGAGGCATGGCACCAGGCAGAACCAGCCCTTGCCACTGGGGAAACAGG